GTGGTGGTGGTAATATTGGTGAAGATTAAAAAAAAACATGAACATCATAATAGCATTTTTTAAAACATTCACATACAGACTCATAACAGGTATTATTGATTGAATAACTGAATAAATCACATGCAAAATATATGGGAAAATGTCACCATAGTCCTACCTCCCACGAAAAAAAAATATATATATAATCGACCAGTCTGTTAAAATAAATATTCATATATGACAAACCAGATACACAGAAATTAATGCATATTTATCAGTCTAGGCATGCATATCTACCAGTCAGATAGATAGATAAACGTTTATTTATCAGATAGATAGATAAACGTTTATTTATCAGATAGATAGATATGCATTTATTTCTGTGTATATGCAAGTCCGTGTTTATGAATATTTCCATTGGGTCAGGCCTCGAATTTAACAGACCGGCTGAATAACACTAGTCTGTGAATAACGTTCTTCCCTGAGGACTAGCGCAATAGGAATAACACTAGTCTGTGGATAAAACTAGCCTGTGAATAACGTTCTTCCCTGAGAACTAGCTCAAGAGGAATAACACTAGTCTGTGGTTAAAACTAGTCTGTGTATAACGTTCTTACCTGAGGACTTGCGCAAGAGGTGCAAACATTGTCACTCTCGCCCGCTAGGTCGCCCAGATCCGAGCCTGGGATACCGAGGCCTTCGAGGATGCCAACGTTTCCTTGCTCGATCCAGGTGGAGTGGGAGTAGAACTTCTGGATGGAGTGATAGGACGTGCCGAGGAGAGCTCTGGCCGCTGAGTAGGACTCGTCGTGGAGGATGGAAGTTAGGATCTGGGGATATCTGGCAATGAGCATCGCCTGCAGTTCCTCGAGGCTTTCTCCGTCGGCTTGGATGGCTGGGTCGTATCTGGGGGGGAAGGGGGGAGGAGATAGGTCGTTGACGGACTGAGGGCGACGTGTGGAGGGCTGATCGCTAATGGACCAAGAGTAATAAGTGGAGTGAAAGTAGCGATAGATAGGACAATAGAGAGTAAATTAATGTCATGTCGCTAATATATGGAATGAAGATGGTACTGAATAGAATAGATATCAGCCAATTATTCAGAAGAGCCCGTTTCGAGGAGGGAACTATGCCTCATCCAGCCTCCGTTTCGAGTCACGAGGGTGGAGCAGGCAGGGGGACCAAAATACCAGCATCAGGGAGATAAGTCAAGTGTCTGTATAGTTTGAGTTGATGGCCTTTACAGCACAGTGTAATTGTTGGTTGGACACCTGCTGCAAAAGGCATCAGGACGAAACTATGGGCATAAGATGGTCTACGTTTTTATACCCTACAGATGAACTAGTAATGTCAGGATCTAGAAAACACATTTCTTTGGCACAGGAACCAGACTCTTTAGTTACTCTTGTAAAGCGAGTCAGTGCCTTTTGCTGCTGGCCCAATCAGGTCAGGCAGCCCAGACTTATGAACAAAACTTAAGATATGTAAAAGTCCATGAGTTAAGTGTGTTCACTGCAGGTACATAAGGACTGAGCAGGTTCTAGCAGACCCCAAAAGTCGTGGATCTTCATCTTGGTCCAAGAGACCTCTAGACTTTGGGGAACTGCCTTAGTGATAGAGCACTGAGAGCAGTCGATAAGGTTCTGGGGGGGGGGGGGGGGGTCCAGATAAGATGACAACTTCATCAGCAAAGTCAAGGTGTGTGTGTGTGATCTTGATATTGCCTAGTGTTAGTCGATAATGACTATGGATAACGGCATTACCTATTATCCAATCTCAGTGTTGAAGAACAGCCAACAAACAAATCACAAAATCATTCAAAAATGACTTGAATCACGAAATACAGAACACTGTAGACTTGCCAAGAAGAAATCTGCACTCCTCTAGTCTATGAGACTTAGATAGACGATAGCATGCATCTTGCCTGGCATGCTGGGAGATGGCCTCCTGAATTTCTGTCAGGGAAAAAGGTTCAACCCAGAACTCTCATATCTTAACGTGACCTAATATGATCCGACAGCCTACTGAATAAACTGTAATCGGCTATGAGGAGAGCTTTGTGTTCAGCTTTCTTAGATCATCTGCTAAAGGTCTTTAACTTCCTTAGTATGATTCCTGACTCAGGGCTATTTCTTGTTCCTCCTCAGCAGTTAGTCCTATGAGTTTAGGGATTAATGCAAATCCCGATATCCAGTCAGCTAAGCCATACAAATTACTTCTATGGCCTATAGCTCCTGGGCTGTATTGGTTGGGCATTTCGCAACCGGTCATGAGGTTTTTGAGAAAGGATTAGAAATAGCCAGAACAAACCCCTCACGCACATTCCTCCTTCAGTTAGTCCATGTGAAATGCCCTTGGACTGTTGCTCGAGAGACAAAGTGTTTTTATATGCACCAAGAGGGTAGTTATATGCAATCTATGATCGGTGACACAGAACTCTGGAAAACTGCAGTTCTAGTGGATCCTCCAATTCTGGCAAAGATGCAATCAACTTCCTTTGTTGCATTACCTGCACTGCAAT